TACGACTGAAGTTTGTTTTAAGAATACTGTACCGGGGTAAGACTAAATGAAGTTCTAGTTCGAAGTTCGACTAAAGTTCGTTTTAAGAATACAGGTGTTAGAGTCATCCAGCATTTTGCGCTATATCAAATTTAATTGGTGATCCACTTCCCCAGCGGATCACCTTGTTACTGTCAGGTTCTTTTTCTTCTTTCAGGCTATTTTTGTTAACACGATATCTCAAAATTGCCAAGAGCAACGCACAAGCCCACTTTAACGAACATTTGGCTTGCCCTGGAATAGTCACAATAAGGTTTTCAATGTGCTTAGTAATGCGTGATGTCATCTACGCGCAACATTGCGTTTTGACGTTATCGATCATATCACCCTAACCAATTGTTATTTCTCAATCATATTCAGTGAGCATAAATTTCTGGTCAAGGTTGAATATCACGTAACAATATATTTTGCGTGCACGTTTTAGCGCGTGCACCCGTTTCAAAATTTCAAAATGCTAAAAATTACTTTTTTACTAAATTCGTGCACGGTGCAGGCCATTTTGAGCATTTCAAAATATTTTGATATTTTCCACTACGCGCGCAGCACGTAAGGAAAATATAAATTACGGGGGGTTTTTTTTTTACATATTTGGGGTTCCTGACATTGGTTTAACATATTTTCATTCTTTTTAGTCATCTTATGGCCAATAGCAATGCCGTATGCGTGCATCAATCATAGGGATCTTTACGCGCGTTTATGCCGATATACAGTGAAAATATGCTAAAATCAGGCCTATTTTTAATCAGATAGCTACTTAGGATGAACGGTGACCCCCAATTTTTATTACATATTCTGAAAGCAAATGAGTTGTAAATATGATTTTATAGATCATAATGGCTGATCAGACATTGTGACATCATCATATTGCCATCTTAATTCAAAAACCCTTGACCGATCGTATGTTATAGCTGAGACAATTTTCTTTCATATATGTGACATCTTTTTACATTTTAATGATGTCATCATAGTCAAAATAAATGTTTTTCTGACCCTACCCTTCACCTTGCTTTCCTCAAAATTTTGATGACCCCATATCATCTTAACCATTCATCATTTCTGAATCATTTTTTGTGGGCATAAACTTCAGGTCGAGGTTAAATATCATGTACCAAAAATTTTCCGGTTGCACGTGTTAACGTGCGCGTAAGCATGCGTCAAAATTATATGCCTTAAATTACGCCTATTTATAATCAGTTATAGATCCTTAGGATGAAAGGTGAACCCCAATTTTTATTACAGATTCTGAAAGCACATGAGTTTATGATTTTATAGTTCATTATGGATAATCTGACATTGTGACGTCATGTTGCCGTCTGAATTAAAAAACTGGATTTAAAAAAAATCTATGACGTCATTTGTTAAAATACTCATTTGAGCGTATCTTGCTTACTCTTGATCGATCGTCTCCCAACTTTGAGTATGTTATGTTATGTTAATTTTTATATATGATAAATATTATGAATGCTAATAAGTCCCTCACCAACAGGTGTTTGTCAATGAGAGTTGATACATATATCTCATATCAGGAGTCAAGATGTGACATTACCATGCGCACATGCGTCATGACGTGCGTGTACGCATGAGTAAATGCTCCAAATTCTTTAAAAGAAAAAAAAAACTGAATTAGCGTATACTTTAGGCCATTTTCAGCATATAAAAATTGTTAAATCCGCACCGCGCACACTTCCTCGAGGGTCAAGGTGCGGCGGATCACCTAACTCGTCCTCAGTGACAAGTTCAAATCTATTATTATTATTATTATTATTATTATAATCGTCTTCATATAACACTGCAAAATGAAGTGTGCAAAAAAAATTTTAAAAATAAAATAATTGTATATACTCTATATAATATACTCGTATAAAATTTACGTATTACATAAATAAATATAATGTTTAGAAAAGGCCGTCCTCCGCAAGTCTAAAAATAGCATCGCAAGTAGCCCACCCCTACCTTATTACCTGTAATTTTTATTACGAAAGTAGGAAGTTCGCACACTGCCGCGAGAGGGCCTGACTCGCATGATATGACGCACTTCCAAAAAAACTGTTACAATTCTGTAATGCAAAATACTGTAGCTGCTCGTTCCTTCTCTATTCAGCCGAAGGGGGGGGGGGGTGGCTTGTATGGTGACACGTCATGTATAAAACCGTCTACCTAAAAACATCGCACATACCGTGTGGCCATGATGTAACGTTAGCGAGGCCGGCGGTCTGCTCCTTACTTAGTTTGTGCATTGGTTTGTGCTGCTGATACTGCCGGGTGACGGACGATCGGGGGCCCACGAGACAACGAGTCCATTTTCAGACGATTGAGCCCAAAGTATGGACGATCGTGTCGGTCTAGGCACCTGTAAGCCTGCGCTAGGTCGGACCAGTCCTAGACTATGCTTCCAACAACCTGCAGCAGTCTGTATAGCAGTGGCGGGGCCGAGGACAATGGGGCTTAAGCCCCCACCCCCATCGGACATTTCCGGCCATCCAGAGCTCCTAGCTATTTTTTGAAAAAAACATTCCAAACCCGCCCTCTCCTCAGGCAAAGCTCAAGCCCCCTGTTGGACAAAAAAAAGTAAATATAGGCCTATACCAAGCCAAACTATGTATTTCACACTGCTAAGTGCCATTTCCGGCCATCCAGAGCTCCTAGCTATTTTTTGAAAAAACATTCCAAACCCGCCACTCCTCAGGCAAAGCTCAAGCCCCCTGTTGGACAGCTTAGCCCCCCCTCCCAGAAAATGTATCCTAGAGGAGCCACTGTCTAGGACTTTAGGCCTATGCAGAATGTGGCCCTACGCTACTATAGGTCTGTAACTGCTTATTCCACAAAACTTCGCTTAGGCAAATTTTCCAATTCAAAAATGGTTTCTTTATTTCTTATACTTGAATCATCATGGTTTCTAATGTGATCAACATTACTCAACCATACTCATCCAAAGGGTGACCAAATTCGACCAAATTCGATTGACTGTAATACAAATGATATACAGTATAAAGTTAAATACATATGTCTAACTAAATCTATCTAAAACAATCTTCTTTAAACAATATATGATTATATAATAATCAATAAATATTAAATACAAGCAAATAACTTCTATGCTCATATCATCAATCAGGCTAATACAAATCAAATAACTAAAACTCACCAAAGATATGCCTCTTCCAACCTAAGCAGCTACAGTGGCTTATAATATGTCTAGCTACAACAACAACAACTGAACTAAAGATAAACAAAGGAGAAACTATGGCAATGGTGTATCTGCTGCTAGAATTAATAATTAGCTAACCTCAAAATGTAAACCAAAGTAAAGAGGGCAGCAACAATAATGGAAACCATGGATTGGCACTTACATTTCCCACCCCTTAATTGTGGATCACAATTACCAAATTTTAAAATGAAAAAGTCCAATTTACATTATTTTTTTTCCTGTAAAATTGTTCTACTACATATTAATTTAAAAGCATCCATATATCAATTAAAGTCCATTAATAATATAAGTTTCATGCACTAAACAACTGTGCAATGTTCCATCATAATCGGTTGCAATCGTTGTAACATTCTACCTTTGCGGAAAGTCTCCTTCCAACAGCAAGCACAACTTACTGATGGGTCTAAGCAGTTCACTAGTTTGGGTTTTAACTTTAACTCTGCATACAAATCTGTCCTTGTTTGGAAATGTTTCAATGATTCTTCCCAATGGCCACACATTTCTTGGAGTACTTTCATTTAAAACAAGCACGATGTCACCAATTTTAGCATTTTGTTTCGGTTCCAACCATTTCTGCCGCTGCTGCAAAGACGGCAGGTACTCCTTTACCCATCTTCTCCAGAACATATCTGACAGATATTGAGCTTGTTTCCATTTCCTTTTAAAATATGAACTAAGTTCATCCATGTCACATGGAGGCAAATTGGTGATGCCCTTTAATTGCAGAAGATGATTTATTTATTTATTTATTTATTTATTTATTCTGTCTTTCTACTGCATGCACTTTCAGTACTTGTGTACTGTTTTTCAAAGTGGTACAGTTTCATAAAATACAAAAGTTAAAAGAAAAGTAATTAAAAAACATACATATATATAAATAGATATCATATTAAGAATTAAAAGAGTTTTTAAAAAATATAATAGACATGTTCATGAAATTTGTTGTTGTTTCGTGTGGAAGTTCATTCCACAACTTTGTTGAACGATACAAAAAAGTTCTCTTTGGTTCTATTTGGTGTATAAGAGGACTAGCATCTTTAATATCTTCTCTTAATGCAGTTATTGGTCAAGATGGCTTCCACCTCGCAAAGCAAAGTTTGTAGTGTTGCATAATCAATGCCCTGTAGAATTTTCCAGATACTCCTTATCTGGCGTTCTAAGATACCCCCATGATGGGAGCCGCCAGGTGGGTTAAATACCCAGTTAATGCCCCTTTGAAGAGACTATGATGTATTTGATGCAGGTTCCATTCATCCAATTCCCTTTGCATTTCTCCTTGTGCAACAACGATATTCATTCCATTATCACATCTTATGGTCTTAACTGTTCCTCTTCGGGCTAAGAATCTACGTATAGTATTTATACAGGCATCAGTGTCCATAGATACGGCAACGTCAATGTGCACAGCCTTTGAAGCTAAACATCAAATACCACTCCATATCTTTTGACAGTTGATATCTTCTGTTTAACATAGAAAGGACCAACGAAATCCATCCTAGGTATGGTTACTTTCTTAATCGGAGTGACTCTGGCTTTTCCCATCAAGAAAGAGCAATGAATTTCACCTTGTTCATTTACTTGTCGAACCATATCCTTCACTACTGGCATCAGCAAAGGTATGGATTTGTCGATTAACTATGTTACCAAATCGAAGTGGTAAGTAACATCTGGATATGATAACGATTTCAAGTTGATCAATTTGCTCGCACCAGTTCCTCCATTTTTTCAAATGCTCATCCATAATCTCTTCATCTCAGTCTAGTTTGAGTCTACATAAATCCTGAAGAACATTCTTAGCTGATACGGTTACTGGTGCTATGAAACCTAAGGGATCATAATTGGTGCTGACAGCAGACAAGATTGACCTTCTCTTGGCTTCGGTTTTGAACTTGCCAACTTTAAATCCGAATGAGTCTCTTTTAACATCCCATCTAAGACCCAAGGCTCGTTCTGTTGGTAGTTGAGAATTTTCAAGATCTAAATCCTTTATACCCTTTGCCCTGTCCTCCTTTGGGATCTGTGCCAAAACAGCTTTATCATTGTAAATCCACTTTGTGAGATTAAATCCACCCTTCTGACATACTGCTTTCAAATCTTGTATCAGATGGAGTGCCTTCTCGGCAGTTTCCATTGATCGTGAACAATCATCCATTTAGAAGTCATGTATTACTGTTGACACAGCTTCCTCACTATGAACTCCTTTATTGTCCTTTGCTGTCTGCTGTAAAGCGAAATTCGCACAGGAAGGCGATGATGTGGCACCAAAAATATGTACAGTCATCCTGTACTTGATAGGTGTGGCTTCTAAATTTCCATTGGCCCACCACAGAAAGCGCAACAGATCACAATGCTCTGTGGGAAATCAAACCTGGTAAAACAATGTCACTCATAAATGCCACATCATGTTTCCTGAATTGAAGAAGAACTCCATTCAAACTGTTAAGTAAGTTTGGTCCAGATAACAACACGTCATTCAGTGCCACTCCAAGATATCGAGCTCCGCAGTCAAATACCACACGTATCTTAGTGGGCTTGTGGGTGTTATTTACACCATGGTGCGGAATGTACCACACCATACCTTCTTTAGTTTTATCATCACATGGCACTTCTTCCGCCTATCCCTTGTATATCACCTTTTGCATGAAATTACAGTAATCTTGTTGGAAAGTAGGATTCCTTTTAATTTTCTGTGAAGACTGTTAAGACAGTGTCTCGCATAGTCTTCATTGCAGGGTAGTTTAATTTTGTCATCTTTCAGGGGAAGTTTCATTTGGTAATGACCATCTATGAGTTTACAAGAATCGGTCATCATCTTCACAAAACGTTTATCCTCTTGTGACCATTCCCTCTCTTATTGTCTACTGCCCTTTCAGGCAAATCATAACGTAGGCTTTCCCTGTAAATCTTCTCCAATTGTCCATTCTCCTCCTGCTTTGTTGTAGCAACACTGATAAAATTGGCCGTCATGCTCACACCTTCACTATTCCGAATCACATTCCAAGGGATCCATCCCAAAGCTGTTTTGGTGGCATGTGGGGAGCCCTTTGGACCTGTTCTTACTTCTGTTGGAGTGAAGCATCGGGAACGTTGCTTATAATATGTCTAGCTAGCTCTGTATAAACAACTTTATCTAAACTAAAGATAAACAAAGGAGAAACCATGGCAACGGTGCCTCTGCTTCTAGAATTTATAATGAGCTAACCTCAAAATGTAAACCAAAGTAAAGAGAGCAGCAACAATAATGGAAACCATGGATTGGCACTTACAAGGCCTAATTGTTATTTAATACATTACTTTATACAATACAAATTGCAATGCAAATATTGGAAAATTAATATAGGCCTATTTGATTTAATTAAATATTTAACATTCTGTTCCACTTCTCTTTTTGTGTAATATAGCTGGCAATATTGTGAAACATTAAAAAGTAATAAATCTTAACTTCAGCAGTTATGTTGTAATAAAAGTTGTAGTTTTAATTTATTAGGCCCATTTTCTCTTCGAGAAAGATAATTTGTTTATGGGATTAGGTTGGGAAATCCACAGACGTGACTAAGTACTAGTAGTATAGGCCATTGAATTGTTTTCATTTCTTTCTGTGATTACGGCCTAATCCCTACCGCTAAAATACAAGGCTAACTAGGCCTATCTATGTATTATTTCACTCTGTGTAGACCCCATAAATTAATAATGTTCCATGGATCCTAATTTTGGAAAGAAAATTACACAGGGACAGGCACGGTGGTGGTAGAGTAACATTGAGTGTCGTAGATTCCGTACTATATTCGCATTTATTATACCTGATTAGTAAGTTTTATATTATCCCATTATTTATTAATGACTGTCATTTTAAATTAATTTGGTCTTAAAAACTGCACTCGCTCCTGCCAGGAGAGGTAGCCCGCCCCAGCCAGGCATAATCACTACACTAGGCTAGTCGGTAGGCCTCATGTAGGCTCATACAGTATGCTTAGTCCTGCTACTACTTCTAGGCCTACTAGGTGTTTTGTTATAACATTTTTCAGTAGTAGAGGACCTCATAGAGAATAGTCATTATAGGCTAGTAATATTAGCAGGCCTAGTACTACTGCTATTATACTACTACTACTACTACTGTAGGCATTTTTATTAATTAAATTTAAATTAGCAATATATTAACTGTTTGTTAAGAATCATTACATGCAGCATAGGCCCTCTGCCTATACTGTATATAAATGTAAAATAATAATACTACTGTATAGTCCTAGATTTTATAAATAATTCTGTAAAAATTCAAGTACTGTACAGTAGTGTAGTATTTATCGCCTATAATTCACTATGATACAATTAAGCCGAGTGGAACTTACTTTATCCAATAGGGTATCCAGCGTATAGTGATAAAACTCCTGTGTGGACTCAGACACAAGATACACAATAACAATCTTGTAGCGTTAGCTAAGTATAATGCGTCTTGCATATAGTCTAGTGTACGAGTGACGACAATTCCCCAAGGTCTCGGCGATCCCTCCCTCACACACCTGAGGGCAGGATATGCAAATACACAGATGCCGGGGTTAGAGGTCGTTGCCGTTGATCGGTCTCTCGAACAGACGGCGGCCGTCACTACACTCTTCCCTTATTTGAAAAGAGCTGACAACATCCCGTTAATAATTAGTCAAACAATGTGTGGGCTCGCCGAGTCGCAAATTGTACAGGAAACCCGGTGGACGTGCATGGATGACTTCAACGGGGGATGCAGAAAACAGTTCTCTCAGATGCTCACTATGCTGAATCATCCGGGTCTGAAAAAATGTAAAGTAAATTAATTCCCAGAACAAAATGTAAGAACAAACATAAATACTTCTTTATGGAATGCTGCATCTTCTACAGTACACCTCCCCAACTGCTGCCGCTGTTGCCCACAGAAGGTTGGGGGAGCCCACTCGATGATCCGCTGGTGCAAAGTGCGGCCCATCCCCATCAGACTCCAGCAGCAACCGTCTGTCATCCACAGCTTCGATATGCCTGCATGCTTGGCGTTGCTGGTTGTTAAATCCACTCACTGCCAACGAAAAACTGAAAAACGTGGCAGGAAAATGACGACGGAAAGCATCAGCAATTGCAACAGTAGAGGTGAAGTTGTGTAGTAGCAAGCGTTGCTCCTGCGGGACACAGGACAGCCTCAGGATATCTAGAGCTCGAGAATAACACTACTCTGCCGTGGGGTCGCCGGCTATACAACGTAGGTGCAGGCATACTACCCGGTGCTGGTGATGAGCATAGCACCGGTTCAACACTCTTCGGAAAAGATTCTCTTGGTGATACCAATCCGAGGGGGGCCGGGAATGATCAAGGCCAATTTACCCTAAAATCTTCACCTTCATTCTTGATAAAGAGTAGAGTCGATCGAATTGATCGGGCGCCAAATCCTGCTTCGGATGGACAACAACGGCAACTTCTAAGTGCAGATCCCGGGTGATGAAATGTACTTACCGTGCCGTGGGGTAAGTCTGTGGGGCACAGTAAACTGTGACACCCCCACCATGGACACGGGAAGGGCATCGCCCCGTGCTGGCTCCGCCCGCTCCAGGTCACCGAGAGTGGCCCAAGAAGATACCCTCAGCCCCTGGCGCAACCGGTCCAGATGACAATGGGCATCATACGCTTTCGCCGCTGAGCCCTGAGAAGAATGTGGCGTCCCACGTGATTGTGGAAGCGCCCTTCCCTGGGGCTTAAACTCCTTCCTCCCCTCCTCCTGTTAACCCTCTTTCTACGGGGTTGAAGGGGTTGAACAGTAAGTTAAACAGTAACCTTTCCGGTGACTTTGCAGGCGGCAACGGCTCTGCGGGCGGTAGTGATTCCAGTGGCAGCGGGTGAGGTGAGTCGGCGAGGAGGTTGCTCTCCTCTGCCGTACTGAGTTCAGTTCAATGTCAGTCTCATCGGCGGACGATGGTCGATCCTGCTTGATCCTGCTTTATATCTATTTCTGTGGGATAAAAGAACATATTCCAAGTTAAAAGCAGACATAACACGGATCGGAAGTGCTCCAAGAACTCGAAGGTTGGAGCTGAACTGGAAAGCATGTACTGCTACGTACAAAGGTATTGCTCCCCGTTGACCTGTAAAGGCACGGTAAATTGTTTAGCTTCTTCATTCAAAAACTACATATTATTAAGAAAATGTTATCTGGCCAGGGTTTCTACACTGGGCACACTTATACAAATCAATGTCCAGGGCATCCGATAGCGAGATGTTCACATGAGCCATGATTCCAGACATCAAGACTAAGGCAAACTATAAATGTGTGATTACTTCATTTTCAATTGAAATTATTGTCATCTGTGAATTACTCAACCATTATGTAATCATATTTCAGTTAGAGGTAGTAGTTGTGTGGCTTGTGAACACATAATTGTATGATTAAAACTTGCTAAACGAAACATACTATTCATGAATGAAGGTCAAATATTGAGGTTTATTTCAATACAGTAAAGTAAATTTTTTTTATACTGGATTTCAGCAAAATTTACAAATACATTTCACTATGTGGCGAACGCTTGCTGCATCTGTATAACGCGTGTTCGAGTTTCGAACGCAATTTTTTTCGAGTTCCGAACGCTATTCGAAGAACTCGAAGACTGGAGCTGAACTGGAAAGCATGTACTGCTACGTACAAAGGTATTGCTCCCCGTTGACCTGTAAAGGCACGGTAAATTGTATAGCTTCTTCATTCAAAAACTACATATTATTAAGAAAATGTTATCTGGCCAGGGTTTCTACACTGGGCACATTTATACAAATCAATGTCCAGGGCATCCGATAGCGAGATGTTCACATGAGCCATGATTCCAGACATCAAGACTAAGGCAAACTATAAATGTGTGATTACTTCATTTTCAATTGAAATTATTGTCATCTGTGAATTACTCAACCATTATGTAATCATATTTCAGTTAGAGGTAGTAGTTGTGTGGCTTGTGAACACATAATTGTATGATTAAAACTTGCTAAACGAAACATACTATTCATGAATGAAGGTCAAATATTGAGGTTTATTTCAATACAGTAAAGTAAATTTTTTTTATACTGGATTTCAGCAAAATTTACAAATACATTTCACTATGTGGCGAACGCTTGCTGCATCTGTATAACGCGTGTTCGAGTTTCGAACGCAATTTTTTTCGAGTTCCGAACGCTATTCGATTCAGAGCCGTAGATAGAGAGAGTTTGGCCAACTTGGGGCATGGCGCCATGTTGTTATCAAACAGCGTGACGTGCGTGCGTATAGCTTTATAACACTGATGCTGCATAAACTTTCATTTATTCTGTTCATGAGGACAATTCAATTATGAGATTTTAATATATCATTGTAAATATCAAATATAATCATATTTACCTAACTTTGGAAGTTAATTATTCAACGCGCTGTATTATTTTGTGAAGATAAAGTGAGGGCGATTCTTTATTTTTGTTACGATTATCTTTTTGTTTTGAAAGGCTATTATCTAGGCCTATACCTAGTTGCTAGCAGCCTACTCTATCTAGCCTGGAGAGGCCTAGGCTAGTCTAGCCTCTACTCTAGTAGGGCAGGAATCTCTCTATTTTAGGCCCTAATATCTTTGAGTCAACACTGCAGAGAAAGGTTAGGTTGTGCAGACAGAGTAGGTTGCAATGTGAATCGTCGGCGATAATATGTTAATATCGCCTGTAAATGAATGATAAATAATATTAATAACATGAAAGTTTTCTAATTAATTGTATCTAGGCCTATGACTTGGATATTATAAACTTTAATTTAATATGAAATAAAATATGCTCGTCATATTCAAACCGATACAAATAGCCTAGGCCTATTCTTTGTAAATTGTAATCTAAACAATAACAAAGTTTATTTTTGTTTTTTTTGTACAACATATGCCCTAATCATAATTAAGAAGCTAGGCCTATGTAAGTAAAATAGCAGCATTCTCCACACTATAATATTAGTAAGTTATTATTATCATTATTATTGTATTATTATTATTATTAATATTATTATTATTCATTGAATTTTTTTATTTGTAATTGTAAAAACATTTAAACGTTTTGATTTAGTGTATGTATTAAAACAATCAATAAATACAATTATACTTAATTTTTATTTATTTATTTTTTTTTATATAAATTATTTCTTCTTATAGTTGCACAATTAATTGATGTGTAAATCACAATTGGGCATGTTTGCATAGCACAGGATTCCTTGGACAAGTTTTCGCTTTTATTGGAGGATTCAATTTTTATTTTTAATTACACTTTAAGCTACCTTTGACTGATACTTCATGTAGCTTTCTGGAAATTTACTTAATTTAACAGCAAAGTGCAACATCGCATCTTTTAGAAATATCATTGCTGCTTGAAATTCCTTCCTTTTTCTTTTTAATTATCATTGTAATTATATTTATAGTATTATAGGCTGATTTAAGTACTACCTTATGATGTTTAAAGCACAATTGGGCATGTTTGCATAGCACAGGATTCCTTGGACAAGTTTTCGTTTTTATTGGAGGATTCAATTTTTATTTTTAATTACAATTTAAGCTACCTTTGACTGATACTTCATGTAGGTTTCTGGAAATTTACTTAATTTAACAGCAAAGTGCAACATTGCATCTTTTAGAAATATCATTGCTGCTTGAAATTCCTTCCTTTTTCTTTTTAATTATCATTGTAATTATATTTATAGTATTATAGGCTGATTTAAGTACTACCTTATGGTGTTCGGCAAAGTTTAAATATAATTCCAAATCCTCTTCCTTTTTGGAATTTTAGGAAATTGATACATTTTTGTTCCTTTGTTGGATCGATTGCAGCAACCCCAAACCGAACATAACGGTATTTTACATATATAGCATTAATCATCTATCATAACTGCTAACTTCCTATCCTATCACGTTAGTTTGTGGCTCGCCATTGGCCAATGTTTTGTTTTGATGACAACATGGCCAGTGTAAGTCATGTGATTGCGATCCACCCAATCACACACGCGTATAGCAGAATCCTGTGAAACCGAGTTGGCCAAACTCTCTATCTACGGCTCTGATTTGATTGGCAATAGAGCGCCCCCTACCTTGTGGTAGCAGTACCCATCATGCCTAAACCGGATTAACCCTTTTCCGCCATCTTTATTTGCTACATCATGACATAGTGTCTACGCCCCTGTCGGGGACAGTAGACACAAAACATAATTTAAACCGCGATATTTGTAAATCTTGTGAAATGGATGGCAATGACTGATTGCTTATCGGGATGCTCACAGCACGCACACAGAGGCAGGCGAGTAACAGGGGTCTTGGGTCGGATGGGGGGGGGCCAAAAGGTAATAATTTTCCCGGTTAGTAATTTACGACCTGGTGTGATACCTTTTGTGGTGACGTTTGACCTAATACGTACGTAACCATGAATAAACGTATGTTATGAACGAATGATAGAACTAGAACTGTACAGGTCTGGGCCTACAAATAAAACCATGTGTTTAGTGTTTTTATTCATCACTGGACAATGTCATAAAATGGAGGTATGGTCATAAAAAAAAGTGGTCAATTGAAACTATATGTCTAGTGTATTAATTCGATACTTTATATCTTTTATTTAACTAAAGAACATAAAAATATCGTAAGATTACCTATACGACAAAAGATTAACTTCGGAATTCCCCTTCATGGGTATTAAACAACAAAGCTGCGATGTTCACTGGGCTTTTTGATGACGTCATCGTCGGTACGAGGCATACGTAACCGAAGGTTTGTATTATCGTTTTACTTAGTTCTTTGTAGTGGATTATTTTAATTGGTCTCTCGATTGTAAAGCCTTTGAACACTTGCATTCGCAGTAGAACATTTCGTCGTCAGCTAGCTGTCATGCGACTAAATTTATCAATTACATTGTCAGAGTTTGCATGTTCTGAAAGGTCTCTTTCAACTGATAGCAAAGTTAAGGATGAAAGCGTTTTTCTTCCATGGTTGACCACATGTAGTTTTTAATGATTCTCAATTTACTGAATGATCTTTATGCAGTGGCGGAAGAAACTGCTATTGTGGCAAATATACAGAAAAGGATTCCCAGATTCGGATATGCAGTGTGTAAATCATGTTTAAACACCCAATGCAGAATATCTTGCAGATTTTCAATAGTTCCTTTCTCAGGTTTGAGTTCTTCATACAACAAGCAAAACTGTTCATATTCCTTTTCAGATAGCGCAACATCAATGGTTTCCGAGTATGACCCAGCTAAGTCTCGAAACATATCCATCTTTCCCATGTTGGCAGGCGTAAGCAGCTGAAAGGTCTAACATGGTTATGGAAATCAGCAAATCTGTCTTTCAGTTCATTGATAATCTTATCCTATACAACATAAAACACGTCTCTCCTGAATCTCTTCTGGATCTTGATGGGGTTCGTCAGTAGCTTCTTCTCCTGGCATTCGTTTTCGTCTACGAATTCTTAGTGTAATGCCCTAACAAAGATCTTATAAACACAAGATAGCGTTCTCCGCGATTTACGCGTGCAAATTCTGTAATAAGGCATGAATGGCGCCCTCTTGCTAAATTGGAAACTTTTGACCCTTGACCGCTCTGACCATACCGTCACCGCGCGATTTTTTACCTTGGGTATCAATCCTGTGAACAGCAGAACAGGAACCATCTCAGATCCATGGCAACAGATAGGACGCCCTCTTCTAAAACTGATTACTTTTTCTCTTTGGTATAATAGCGCATGAATGGCGGCCTCTTGCTAAATTGGAAACTTTTGAACCTTGACCGACGCTTCTATTTGTTACGCGTAAATAGCGGAGAACGCTATCTTGTGTTTATAAGATTTTTGTGCCCTAATTTAATCAGATTTTCACGTTTCAGTGAATCACGTACTCATACTCGTTGACATTGTTCTTCTCGTATTCGATAGATTATAGAGATTTGCTAGGTCTCTATAGATTCCTATGCTACTCGAGATACTATATAGGACAAAGTGGACATACTTACCATTCACTCGCAGGTGCAATTCACTCGCTAACAGTGATAGGTAGTATAGGTATGTCTCAGTTTATCGTCAGTATCTCAAGTCCTCCTTACTTCTCCTCCGCACTCTGTGCGGGGTTCCCCATAGGGTCTTCCACGGGTGCGTGGATTTCCCCCGGTGATTGGCTGCAACGTATAGATGACGTCATTCACAACCAATCACCGGGGCAGCGGCACGTCACTCGTCCCACTTTTATTTTTTTTTAGAATTCCTTCTCCTGGCTTCCCCATCACAGTTGTTTTTTTTTTTTTGTGTGTTGGTGAAAGAGAAAACACCAAGAACCGATAAACAAATGGGGTTGTGGTGAATCCCATAATTTCGGAAAAGGATGCCAATAGGGGACAATGAAAGTCCCGAAGCTGGATTGTTCCAACCAACATTCCACACAAAAATAATCCCAGTGGGAAAAGCAGCACCATAGAAATACAACTTAAACGCCCAGGATAAATTTGAATATCCCAATTGGGTCTTGGATTTTAAAAACAAGACAAGCCAACC